GAGCTTCAGTTTCTAAAAAGGTGAGGACTTAGCTTTCTGGGAGAAGAGGACTTAGCTTTTTGTAAGATAAGAACTTAGCTTTTGTAGGATGAGAACTTAGCTTTTTGTAGCGTGTTCCCACAGATGACACCAAATGATGTAACCGTTTCCGATCACATATCATTTTTTCGTGGTGTCAATTTTTTGGCTGAGTACCTCGCCATCTCGTCTGCTCCCAAGTGGCCTGTGACTCAGAGGTTGAATTGGAGCTCCCTGGTGGCGAGCTGCCTAGTAGTGAACTGCCTGGTGCCGAGCTACCTAGTGGTGCTGGTGGCGAACTTCCTGGTGGTGAACTACCTTGATGAGCTGCTTGGAGGTGAACTACCTTGTTGAGCTGCCTGATGGTGAGCTACCTTGATGAGCTTTGTTGCTCTTTTAGAGGCCTGCAAGGAACCTATTGTCAGAGGACCCGAGGTGGCTAACCCGGCGAGGTCACTCCGATGCCTAAGTTAGCACTTAGTGGAGAGCTGAGAATGATATTAGAGAATGAGAGAGCAAGAGAGCAAAGGTTACCCATCCTTCTCTTTTTGCCTACCTTTGCCCCTAGGGGTGAGGTTTTTATATACTGGAGTCCTCGTGGGTTAGGTGGATATGTTCCTGGATTCCCGTTGTGATGGGACTTGCTTTCGTGTTAGGTGGGGATAAAGCCACCAACTGGTAAGGTTGCCCATTTCCGCCTGACTCGGGGAGTGGGTGAGCTAATATAACCGTTACATGTCACAATCCCGTAAAATGCGGGGTACGGTGGTGAGTTCCTCGGGGTTGTCAGGTTGGTGCGTGGGCCAAGCCACCAGGTCGCGCGTGGGCCAGGCCCCTAAGTTGCGTCTGGGCCAGGCTGCCAGGTCACACCTGTGTCAGGCCGCCAGGGCCAGGCTGCCAGCTCGTGCCAAGGCCAGGTCGTGCCAGGGCCAGGCCGCCAGGTTGCGCCTGCGCCAGGCCGCCAGGTCGCGCCTATGCCAGGCCGTGCCTGTGTCAGGCTACGCCTAGTGGGATACCATCAACTTAACAAAGGCATGTTGTTGCCAAAGTGGTCCCGGGTGTCACCTAGTTGTTCTGAGGTGCCAGGCTACATGAGGGTGAGTTGCCTATTGCGAGCTGCCTAGTAGCGAGCTGCCTGTAGCGAGCTGCCTATAGCAAGCTGCCTGTAGCGAGCTGCACGATGGCAAGCTGCCTATGGCAAGCTGCCTGTGGCGAGCTACCCTATGGCGTGCTGCCTATGGCGAGCTCGAGTTGTCTAGCTGTCAAGGGACTGCACTTAGTTGGCATGAGGTGCCTGGTCTCATAATGTCATTGGAGGGCCAAATCCGCCCTCATCAGCATCCATATTATATGGTTGATTCCACCCTTATCCACATTCACCAAATCCATGGCTTCACAATTTAGTTATCATCTTAGTTCACTTGATGGTTGATTGAGATATAAAAACCTCATAGTTCACTTGATGACAAATGCAGGATATGATGACATCTTTGACTTCAATAGGTAATGGCTTCACTGATATGAGGATCATTATACTGTGAATTGCCACTATTGCTGAATTCAAGCTAGATTGACTTGGAATGAACATATTGCCACTTGATGACAAATGCAGGATATGATGACATCTTTGACTTCAATAGGTAATGGCTTCACTGATATGAGGATCATTATACTTCGAATTGCCACTATTGCTGAATCCA